TGGCGGATTCCTCTTGACCAGCTGTCGATTGGCTTTACTGGAAGATTCATGCTGACGCTGTTTCCGAGGTGCAATCTACTTTGATTCCGGTGATAAGGTGCCAAGCTTTCGTCCGTCATATGACGAACATCGTCAGAGCAAGGTATCATCTTCACAACCAAATTCAAGCTAAAAAGTCAAGAAAACTCACCGACAAATCCCTAAAATGCTGTATATATACTCTATAGCTGGCTCAAACTTATCATGACAGCAAAAGTAACGTCTGTTCTCGGCCATGAAGGTTTGGGGACGACTCGTTAGCTTGAATTCGGTTGTGACGATGATACCTTGCTCTGATGATGTTCGTGATGTAACGGATCAAAGCTTAGCACTTTTTCGCCTCAGAGGCCAAGTCGGTCAGAAAGTCTGAGTGCAACCATCTGGTTACTAGGACTTTATCGTCGTCGAAACTCTTAATCACGCACACTATTACTCGAATTGAAAACAATGTCAAAACTTCTCTGCACTCAGACAGCATCGCCATAGTAACCAGATAGCTATGTAACATCTTTCGAGGGTACAAACTAGCAATCGGTATCCGGTCGAGTACCGCGTTCCGTGCGTCTGGTGGTCAGATGACAACAGGACGAACATCTTATTCGGCTTGAATGGAAATTGCGTGCTCTCTAAGAAGTCCTCATTATGCACATTCCTGATGTAGCTTTTACTCATATTTCTGATTTACTGGTAGTCTCGTATATTTACTCATTTACGATAAAAGTAATGTCGTCGATTGCTATAGGAAATGTATATCCTAACGCAAGATATGATATCAAAGTACTTGACATTCCTCGAAATTCACATCTGCCCTGTGACCCAAGGGCTCTCGTAGCAAAGTGTCTGAGTGGTTAATGTGCCGAAATTACACTCTACACTGTCATAGTTCGACTCCCGCTTGGGGTGTTGATAGGACCTCTGCGAGGTCGAAACTGCAATCCACTTCTGCCTGGATGAGAACACATTTTGCGAAAGTATGGCTGTGTGTAATTCAATGGGAAATATCGGCTCTACTCATATCATTGTGGGAAGAATCAACTGCCAGTCCTTATTAACGTTAAACGCAATAATGTGAATACAACTCATATATCTGATTTATTGGTAGTCTCGGTATAAATAAAACCACCTGGTTACTAGGACTTCACCACCGTCTTCTGATGGGACCGACCTTCGAAGCTTCTCATCCAGCACACTATCACTTGAATTGTCAGTAAACGCAACACTTCTCTGCCCTCAGACTATATCGCCATAGTAACCAGACAGCTACCTACCACCGTGTGAAGGCACAAACTAGCAAAACGCATCTGGTCGGGTGGCGTGCTCCGTGTATCTGGTGGTCAGCTGACAACAGGACAGACATCTTATTCGGCTTAATAAGAAGTTATTTTCGTATTGCAGTAGAGTTTCAAGACTACCAGTAAATCAGTAATATGAGATGTATTCATCCAATTTCGTTTACGGTAATGAAAGACTGGTAGAAGAAGAATTTTTCCACAATGATATGAGTTGAGCTGACGTTTTTATTCAATTTCACATAGCCTTGCTTTCCAAAATGTTATTCTCATCCAGGGTTAACAGGATAACTTTTGGCAAAGCAAGGCTATGTGAAATTCAATGGAAACGTCAGCTCAACTCAAATCATTGTGGGAAAATTCTTCTTCTACCAGTCCTTCATTACCGTAAACGAAATTGGGTGATTACATCTTATACTACTGATTTACTGGTAGTCACAAAAACAATATTTAATTCGAAAAATAAAGTAAATTCTCAATATAAGGTGTATTCACACAATTTCGTTTAAGGATGAGAACTCTTTTGTGAAAACAAGGCTATGTGAAATTCAATGGAAACATCTGCTCAACTCATAGCATAGTGGGAAAATTCTTTTTTCATCACCTTAGACGAAATAGGGTGAATAGATCTTAATTAGAAATTGGCTGCTCTCGAAGAGGTTTTTATTATGCACAATCGTGGTGTTCCCTTTAGTTAGTTTAAAGGAACGTCGAGCGCTTGTTGCCGAAAGGTCACAATCACAAATGACCATCATCAAGCCTCCTTCGGCTTCCGGTCAGGCCAACTGACTGGCACAAACAAGCCGACTGGCTTGACAACACCCCATTTGAGCAGGTGATTTCTTCGGCCAGCCTAAACTTCCGACGCGACAGAGTTTCGCGTCGCCGGAATTCGTGGGCTCGAGTCCCGGCCAGTGGGAGAGGGGCAGGGACTACTCACCACCTCCAAGCGGAAGCGACGCAGCGGTGGTCTGACAAACTCGGGCACTCGCAGGTCCGTCTCGCGGCGGTACTTCAATTGCTCCGCATTCGCCAGTCCCACCATGACACGTTTCTTCTTTTTCGGCCGCGATCCCACCGTTTGGAGGCTGCTCAGCGATGCTCTGAGTCCCGTCGCGCTGGTCGCCGTCAGAGACCGCGTGCTCTGAGCCTCCGTCAGGCCGAAGCTGGCGAGGAGCATTTCGTTTTCATCGTCCAACAGCGCCATCTCCTGCTCGAACGCCGTGCCTGGCTGCGATTCTTCGGCGTAGTCTTCCTCGGAGTCGACAAGGCTCGACTCCTCGTCGCTCATCGGCAGAGTTGGAAAGGACTTGAGAAGAAGTTTTTCATTGAACCGCTGCGTGAACTCTTCAATCTCCTCGATCGTCTGCAGGTTGCGGAAGGGCTGATTCGGATTGCACTGGACGGCAACCAAAGGACGGTGACGGCAGCCGCCAGGGAAGGGTACAAGGTGGCAAATGGGAGACAGAATGAAAGTGAGGATGAGGGCAAAAATGAGCAAAGACGTAAAGAGGATGATGAGGGTGAGGGAGAGGCTGAAAATGGGAGGTAGAGTGAAGTGAGTGAGGAGCGAAAAGGACATTCGAATTGTGCACAAGCTGCACGAAATTCGGTTGGAACGGGTTCTACAGAAGCATCGTCTTAAAGACCCGTTTCTTTCGGCAGCAACAACAGCTCGGCCAAGAGGACCTGGTCCACTTGAGGCGTACCGCCCCGCTCAACTTCGCTACGGTTACCCAGTCGGACTTACTTGAATGAGCTCGAAGGAGGCGAGGATCTCACCCGCCGGCGTCTGGCCGCGGTAGACCGGCCACCAGGCCAGCTTGGAAGGAACATACATCTCTCCGTCCACGTACACCTTCACCTCGCAGAAGACACGGCCCATGTAGTCGATTTTCACCTGGAGACAGCAAAACGACACGACAATGCATGAGAAAACAACGACCGATTGGCGATAATTAGAGAGAAATGTGCAAATATCGAGGCAAATCAAATGTGAATCTGCCCACATTTTTAATATTTAGGTAAACATTTCTCACATGTCTCTACAACTCGGCTGACAACAATTCTGATCAGCCATGGAAGGACATGTTCTCAACTTTTTGCGTTTGGATGTCTTCATGCTTTAAAGAAGTGAGGTAACCTCGTTTTCGCAACTTGGTCTTGTTGTCAGGTAGACTATATAGAACGCACCTAATCCATAGTCGTCTGCCATAGTAGTTGTCATGGTTCCCAGTATCAGACGGTGGACTTGGTACATTCTCGGACGTTTCGCCGGCATCGTAGTTGGCAGCATCAGTCAGTCTTGCCATTCTCCGCACCAAGCTACGAACTCGTCAAAGAGACAAGCTTGATGAGTTGGTAGCTTGGTGTGCAAAATAGCGAAACTCACTGATGATGCCGACTACGATGCCGGTGAAACGTCTGAGAATGTACCAAGTCCACTGTCTGATAATGAGAACCATGACAACTACTATGGCAGACGACTTCGGATTAGGTGCGTTCTAA